TTCTGAAGTACTGAGTTTTTCAACACACAGACTATAGTACTGGGTGGGTTTTTTTTTCAGTTGTCTGTGGTGTTTTCTAGATAATTTCTTTATTTTGTACCTTAGAGGTAGCCTGTCACCAGCTGTTGTTAATATACGATGTAGACTGGGAGGAAATTTGTTCAAGACTCAGAGTTAGGTAAGTGCTTACCAGGAGTCATGTGTCTTACTAGCTGCTCAACTGCAGGGCACTGTGTGACAGCAGGGCATCCCTGATGTTCCCCGTTCCCTGGCTTATCCACATGAACAACTTTGCTATGGAAACCTACTTGTAAGCCAGGTCTGTTATGGTAATCAATGCATGTCTGTATATGCACATGTTTTCTCTGAAATGCGGAGAAGGAAGGATCTGCATGGAAATCAGGTTATTGATAAATCCTTCAATATTCAAAAGAAGTCCAGAAAGACACATTGCGTTGTGCCCTGGTTGTCCACATTAACCATATTTACAAGCAGAGACACAAAGCTTCAAAGTGGAGGAAAACACTAAGAATATAAAGCCATTAGATTGTACTGACAGGTTTAATTTCTAGTTTGTATGTAAGAGATATTATACTGATATTAGTTATAAGGGGATAAGATGGAAATTGCTCCCTTAATTTGACTTCTTAGAAAGTTTGGTTTAAAAGCCAAGCAGCTAGTGAATTTGTTGGGTTAGAGTCATCTCAGCCCCACTGCCTATCTTTGTGTGCCTGCTGGAATGCCTGGAAAGTTTTGTTCACTGCTTTATGGTTCCTGCTCTGGGGAAGGACCGGTCCTTGTTAGCATCCTTAGGCTTCAGCTTCGGTTCGTTCGTATACAAAAGACCCAGTGGTTCAGTAGTAGTAATAAATGAAGGGCAGCCTATAACATTGAAAGTTTCCAGTTTCTCTTTAATTGGTATATAATCAATCATCTAGGTCTCAAGGAAAACTTCATTATAGCAGGAGGGATTCTTATGGCATATGGTAGGCATATCGCTCCGTTATCCTTTAAAATAACCTTGATAAAGGGTGTACTCTCTACAGTCCAACTTCAGAAACCCTCACAGGGTTACTTAATGCAGTCACAGAGTTGTATATTAGTAAAGAAAGAGAAAAAAATATGATGACGAGAGACAAGAGTCCAGATTTTGAAATCAGAATGTCAGTAAAGTGGGGAGCAATTAGGGGTGGCGAGGGCTGTAGATAATCTTGTGCTAGCACTGGTGGAACAGGATAGATGCAGGGCAGGCATATGTGAAATGAAGCAGCGCTTGTCCTGCTGGGTATTTACTGCCTGTGTCTGCACACATTTTTTGGCATTATTATTTTCATTATTCATGCAAAAAAGGGCAGTGGGCAAGAAATGCAAACTTGGGATCTTTGCACCCAGTTTTCAGATGGTGGAATATACAGTTATGAGTTTGTGTTAACCTTCACCTTTACCGAAGGGCACAGTGGAAATGAGCCCCTAATCCATCCTGCAAGTGTTATGAAATCTTCAGGATCTTGCCCAGAAAGATCAAAACCTGCTGTAGTCAGGATAGCCCAGAGTATATTTGAAGTGGAATGATTAATGATTTGCTAATGTAGATGGATTTCTCTTCAGGAGATGTTGGCACTTTCTTACTGATGAGACGTGGCAGTTAAGAACAGGCTACTTTGTGCTGTGATTTCTTTCCTTCTTACATCAAAGGGAATAACTTCAGGGAATATTCCTCTTAATGACAGAGCTTCATAAATTATTATGGAATGCCTTGGATGTTAAGAAGTGTGGCAGCTCAGACACTGTAATACACTGTTTTTATAGATAGCCTGAATAGCATTCTCAACCGTATTGATAATTTCTGGGGTAGCTCTTAAAGTCAAATAAAGCAACTGGAGTGTGTGTAGTGCTGTCATGTTCTAGTCATCTCCAGGAGCTGAGGGGATGAAATGCCAAGTCCCTTAAAGGGCTGAGATTTGAGCAGTGTCACTGGAAGCACGGGCAGCTCATTAGAAGTCTGCGGATGAAGTGCTGCACGGAGATGCTAGCGGCTGTTTTGGCAGCCATGAAGCCTTGTCTGGAAAACTGATACTGCTCCCTTTGTGCTCAGCCCCTCTGTGACGAGACTCTGCTGGAGTGGGTGCACTCTAGTTTTAGCCCTTAGGACAGAACCACTGCCTCATGCTTCTTTGAGCACAGTTCATATAATCATAGAATCACAGAACGGTTTGGGTTGGAAAGCCCCTTAAGACATCCAGTTCCACCCCCCCCCTGCCATGGGCAGGGACACCTTCCACTAGACCAGGTTGCTCAAACCTCATCCAGCCTGGCCTTGAACACTTCCAGGGATGGGGCATCCACAGCTTCTCTGGGCAACCTGTTCCAGTGCCTCACCACCCTCTCCGGGAAGAACTTCTTCCTTATATCTAACCTAAATCTGCCCGCTTTCAGTTTAAACCCATTACCCCTTGTAACAGGTCCTTGTCCTGTCACTAAAGACCCTTGTAAAAAGTCCCCCTTGTAAAAAGTCTCCAGTTAGTGCACTAAGGAAGGAATCAGGAGTATAACCTTGGGCTAAGATTCAAGCTGGTTGCATACAGAACGTAAGAGACATTAGACTCATGCCTTGAATATAAAACCTCTGATTTATTTACATCCAAAAAATAGATCTTAAAGTTGAGTATGGTCTTACAAAACAATTGTATTCCATAAATGTTGTATTCATGAAAAATGGAAGTGTTGTCCAAAAAACCTGTAATGTAAAAAAACCCCAAAACACCTATTTTTTTTTTAAATTACTGAGCCAAACTATCATTTCCTGCATACTACAGTTACTCTTAATGTCATGCTTGCAATACACATTGAAGGTAAACACCTGATTTGCAAGAGTCCTGTACATTAACTGTACGGAAAAGAATCCGTTAGCCATATGTAGTCATGAGTCCCTGTCACAAACTTGTAGATCGCTCCCGGAGAAGCTCAGTTCCTTGAATACCACGGTCAATTTGCTGGAGCATCCTTCAGGCAGCATCAGAATCCTTCAGCAGCTGCCGTGTTTAGGTGGAGTTGTGTTTGCAGTGAGACTCCTGACGACCATGGCCTCAGTCAAAGCTGGGAGAGGTGCTGTGGTAGGATGCCAGCTCATGTACCACATCTTCAGGGGAGCCTGGTATTTGGGGAAAGATGCTTTGGCTGAGTCCATGTCCAGCTAGAACACGTGTGAGGAGGTTCCCAGCTTGATTGCTGCGGTGTTGTGTTGCTCGGTGCGCTGCTGTCACTCTCGCACCACAGAATCTGGTGCTTGGGGGATATATAAATACTTTCTTTTATCACCCATCATGCTAGGAATTTTCAGCATGAGACCATAAAGAGATAAAATGCTTGTAGTAGCTGAGCCAAAGCTGTCCTCCCACTCTGGTATGTTTTAATCTTCAAAGCCACATGTAGGCATGCAAACTGATGGCTTTCTGCTCTTACGTTTTGGTTTGTTTCTGTTCTGGGTGGCTACTGCCAGCAGAACAGGCAAATCCCAAATGCAGGTAAAAATATATTTGGATTTTTATGCAGTTGGGAGAGAACTGTGCTTCTAATGCAGGGGAGGACTGGCCTGCACAGTTTGCCCTGCTGATGATCTCTGCAGTATCTCCCTGGTGATCATCCAGCTTTATAGGGGATGGTGCATCTGCCTGTGTGCTAACAAGGTAGATCTGTTGACATCTCCTAGCTATTCCCTATGGGTATGGCTGCTTTGCCACCTCGAGCTCACAAACCCCTGACAAACCTGCATCTATCCACTGCAGGTTACTTCTTTTTATTTAACCCCTCACCTTACATATAACAATTAAGGTTTCCTTGTGTCTGTGGTGTAAAATGGCACTGAACTTATTGAAGGATGGTCGTGATTAAGGCACTAGACTAAAACTCAGGAGTTCAGAGTCCAAAGGGGTCCCTTGGACAGTGTAAGAAAAGCCTCAGTTCCCCCATCATGAAGGTGAGCAGGAGGAATTAAAAATCCTGTGTGAAGGTGAAGTACCCAGATACCACATTTTTTTTGAAAAATTAAAAATATTCCTATCAAAATAGGGCTATAAATGACCCTCTTTCTGGATGTTGTTCTGTAAAAGTTGCATATAAAACCAAGTCAAATTAAATTACATTAATTAAAAGTTGCATCTTAGTTCTGATAATAAATTAGTTAGGTAAGAAAGATTGTGAAACTGTATTCCAGTGGGTGCTGTAACAGCCACTGTAACAGGATTGATCGAGTGTAAATAATTGTGTTTTTATTAAGAAGACTCTGTCTAAACTCTTTGGTGAAATTACAATCAATCCCCTCAAACTGCATAAATCACAATTTAAACCTGTTTCAGGAAGAACAGGATTCTTTATGTCAGCATCCTCTTATTTTAAGAAAAAGCAGATACATGTCCTTAGGTGCCTCAGGATTTGTAATGTTGTTTGATTGGGCTATTACAAAACTACTCTAATCAGGATTAAGCCTTGTACCTTGGAAACCAGAGGTGATGAGATTACGTGATAATCAAAGGTGATTTAGAAGATCAAAGCCTTTTTGAGGGAATAAGAACCCTAATTTTATTCCTCCAAAAGGCGTTATTTGACCTTATTCTCTCTCTGCATTTTGATAAATACCTAGGGTAAAGATGTAGCTTTGCTGATGCCATTCATGGTTTTGCAATAAAACTCAGTTGATTCAGGATTTTACCTCCCCCTGGAAATGTCACAACAGCCACCGTTTACATTACTGAAACTGTGATGCCTCCTGAATAAATAGCGTGTCAAGTAACGATCATTTCTGAAAGTTTTTAACTCCTTTAGCTAAACGGTGGAACAAAGGACCTAGCCACAGGTCCTGTCTTCATCGAATCAGTTTGCCTCAGAGCCACCCAACAGCAAATTTCTTTCGCTCGGCGTAAACCGTTAAGCTAATCCATAAAATGCAATCCCAAGGAGAAGCGTTCTGCTGGTATTTCCTTAGGGTGCGAGCGCTTCTGCTGTCAGTCCCTCTGCAGCCCCTGGCCCACGATGTAGAGCTCCGGGTGGGAAGCGGATCTGTTGGACTCCTTGATTTCGGGGACGCCTGGGCTGTTCCAAGAGTCGCCTGTTTTTCTAGGGCTCTCCTCCAAGCTGCAGGAGGAAAGACGTTTAAGAGGCTAAGGAACTGTAACTTTTGAAAACAGGGCTGATTAGACCACGTTAATCCATGAAACCCAAATACCACGCAATGCTACATCAGTCCCCTCCTGCATACGCGCTCTTTATATGCGCCACCCAGATTTCACCCTTGTGCTGCCAAATGCTCTGTACTGTCCCCTCCCAAAATTCTCTTGGGAATGTGCTGTGTTGAATGGGAGAGCAGTGGTTCAATTGCAGAGGCAGAGTTGAGTGGAAAGGCTTGTTCCCAGCTCTGCTGGAGGTAGGGTCTTACCCCGTTACGCCTCCGCTTAGCGCAGTTACCGAGATGTCGGAGTATGCCAGCCTGACCGTGGGATGTGTATTCTGGTGGTATAAACATGCCGCGCTGGAGGCAGGAGAACTGAGACATGGAATGTGTAAATGATGTCCCTGAGGTTGCGCCGGCAATGTCTAGGGGTGCGGGGACTTTATGAATCAAGGCTGATTATGGCAGTGGAGCGAGTCATGAATATCTCACGCCATGGGCCTTTGTGCTGAAATGTGCCCTGTGTTGCTGTAACTAATTGAAGTGGTTTAAGCTCAACACAGGGAAATATTCCAGAGTTATCTGGGAATCATTATTGTATTTTAAGTACATAAACTGCTAAACTGAATTAGCTTTCAACTACAGACAAGCTGTTATGTTCCTATTCCCACTGCTAGGACTTTAATGGTTTGAACTGCTGAATGAAGAGATTTGTGATACATGGCCAGTCAGGAAACCAGATTCAAAAATCCCCCCGGCTGTGGAAGGTGTCACTAGGGCTACTTGCTTTGGGCCTGGTTCAGTCAAACCAATCCATTCACAAGCCCTTCTTGAACAATATGTTAAAGGCAATGGCATTTAATCTTCCATCTCCGCTCTACCTCCTGGAGATTAGCAGTCGCAGTGAAATATGATCTCGTTTAACTGCATACACAGAAATCCTATTACAGATTAACAGGACTTCCATGAGCAGAGCAATTGTACATGTTATGCCATGATCAGATGCCAATAACTGCTGATTGATGTCAAATGACCAAGCTTAGAAACCAGGAAAGTTAGCTCAGTCTGTCCATCCATGGGTTTTCCAAATGGGAACCAGTTGTACTGACTTGAGCACTGAAACCCAAGACTGGAACTCCTGTCCAGGCACCCTAAAACTAAACACAGAAGCTCTAGCTCCAGCCCTAGTTAGGGCTAATGATGTTTTAAGTCCCTGTATCAGAGCACGGGATGGGCAGGAGACACACTTGGGAAAGGGGCACTTTTTGCCTTCTAGGGGAGGAGCGAGCATGCAGGAGACACGCAAATCTGTGCCCAGCACTGACAGTTAATGCCTGGCAATGCCAGCCAGCAAACGGAGATGGAAGTCAGCTCTTTTCTTTTGGTGTTCCTGCTAAAATGGGGTGGGAGAGCGGACTCAGCTGCCTGAAGACGAACATGGTGCCTGTACAAAGCTCCTGTCAGATTATCTTTAGCAATCTGCTTCTCAGCAAATGGATGTTTTAATTGGGCACGGAAAAGGTGTAGGGATATATCCCGGAGTTTGGGAGCATGAGAGAATCTGGCTAACGCACTGATTTTCAAAATGTTTGACCTATGACAGAGCGATGCTATTGCAGGTTTGACTCTGTCTCCCCTACCACCTGTGGTTAGTGCCTGAAGCTGCTGATAATGCACAAAACCCCACACAGACAAAAAAAAGAGCATTGTTATACTTGGAGAGGAGAGGTAGAGCAAGGGAAGGGATGAAGGAAAGGAGAATGGCAGCTGGCTGGGGATAGGTTGTGAATTTGAGAGCAGGTGCAAACATGGCCAAAATGAGGAGTTTTAGGAAAAAAACAGCTGGTTTAGGGGGGCACTTAAAAATTTCCCTCTGCCAGCTGAATGAACTGCAAAGCAGAGGGGGCCCTGGACTCTCAATGAACTTGAAGGAGAAAGAGGGATCGGGGTGTGGTGGTTTGTCTGTTACGGCATCTGCTGTAAGAGCGGGGGTCAGCATCTGTGCATGGGGATGTGGTGCTCCCAGCTGTGGCAACCACCGTGGTCCTCTGTGGGAGGAGATGTGCAGCAGGGATGTGAGTGGCTCTCAGAGCTTTTGCCACATGCTGATGCCTAAAATGGTCCTCCTCTGCCTGTTGGCACATTTGCTGTGATGTTCATATTAAGGCTTTTAATGTCTCTAAAAGTTTTCTCCAGGCAGCTTATTTTGAGTGTAAGAAAACACATGGTAGTGTATTGCATCTTAAATCACTGTGGTAATTAATGGGCTAAATTTTCCGTTTGCTTATATTGGTATAAATTTGGACTAAGTCAGTACAAATCATGCCCATTTGTATAAAGGGTAAGCTGAATTTGGCTCAGGATATATTTAATTTCTTCATCCAAAATGCTGTATGTAATAACACTAGGATATATAATGTTTTTCATGAAAGGGATGATTTTATTTACAGTGGTGGTTTTATATCACTCTCTACGCCCTGACAGACTACAATAGAAAGATAATAAACCCCAGTGCAGCATAAATTAGCTAACAATTTGTAATAGTCTGTTTTTAAAACTGATCCATGAAACTGCCAGGGCTTTTGTCTTGCAAGGTTTGACATAGAGCCTCTTTTGAAAACATTCATTTCTGCTAGCAGGCAGTGGATTAGACAAAGCTGACTTGACGCAGCACATGACAACAACAGAAACCCCAGCAGCAGTGTACAGCACTTTTAGGAAACCTTCCAATGTCAGAATGTAATGCAATTTTATAACTGGGAATGCAAAACTGTTTGCATTTCTCAGTGTTTTTTGCATGTTTTGTTCAGCATGTTCCTCTACTGTCAGTGTGGGGAACTTGATCATTATTCTGTTCTTGGGGAGGGAATGCCTGGACACCGGACTTCAGCATCCATGACCGTCCCTGTACTCACAGCGCACCGAGTGCTTCTGCGCTTACAAGTGCAATTTTGTCTCCTGTTAGGGTTGGTCTTGCAATCCCGACCCATGGGGATGATTCATGTGATTTCAGCTGTTCTGTGGCAAGAGTGAGAATATTCCTCACATGAGGCAAGGTTACCTGAGAAGGGTCCTAATCCTTTAGCTTAGAGCTTAATGGATTTAACATCCTAAGAACTTGCTAAGAAACTAGAATAACAACGCTTTGTACTTCCAGGCTGTTAGCACTGATCTTTGAGTATTCCCAAGTTCCCTTTGCTGTTTCCTGGCTAGTTTGTGATTTTTTTTTTTTTTTAAAGTGGTAATGAAAATCTAAAGCTAAGCCCAGATTTTTAAAAAATGGCCATCAGGGGCTGCAAACGAGGAATTGGTGTGTGTTAATGCTGCAATTTTTTTAAACTGACTTTTTCAGAGCAAAGAACCTCCAGTAGCCATGTGAGGTTTTTCCACTTTGAAAACTGGGCCTGGGCTGTGGGCCCATCAGGCTTGAAATCAGCAGCTAGATCTGAAAGCCTGCACGAGAAGCTCACAGTTTCAAGCTATAATTGCAGCCATACAGGTCCTTGCCCACCCATTGTCTCTCTGTCATTCTTGCCGGCTGATTTGAAACATTTCAATACTGATTGCCATTCAACGATTTATTGGCTTAGAGGGTGCTGTTAGGAACCATACCCTTCCTCTTGGTCCAACCTACCTTCTCCTGTTATTTAAAGATGTTTAGAGCCTGAGGGTTACTGCAGAGCTTTAAAGAATGGAATGTGGATGTCCTTAGCCCCCATACATATGAGGGGAGTTCTGTGCCACGAAACACTGAATTTTCCCTGGGGTGCCTGTCACAGTCGATATGTAAGTGTAAGGCTTGAGCAAGCCGTGGAAAGTTAACCCTTTCCTTTATTCAGACGGGTAGTCTACTGAAATCTGTGACAAGACAATAGAGTATAATAGAATATTTCAGTTGGAAGGGACCTACAACAATAATCTAGCCCAACTACAATGTTATCTTTGCCCAGCCATCTGCTCCATACACAAACAGGGCGCTTTTCTGGGAAATCTCTTAATGACATTAAATTCCCACCAGGATTTTAGAAAGCCAATGCAGCACTATACTTCTGCTTCCTTGGCCTGAAGTAGAAAATGTCTTACCTTGCTTGGTTAAGCGCGGGTTCGCTGCCGGCTGTCACGGGAGCTGGAAGCCGAAACTGGACGCCTGGTCGTCGGTCAGAGAAACTTCTCTTCACGAAGGGCTGAGGACTGGTGGCGCTCAGGGACAGCCTTCTGGTCTGGTCTCTGGGCTGCCGGAGAAGAAGGTTGCTCTTCTGGGGAGGGGGAGAAGCTCCGGGCTGGCTGGTCACCTCCGCAGGGGGTTTGGTGGGTACCAGCGGAGGTCTGGCTTCGAACAGGGAAGAGGTGGCCGGGCAGAATATGGAACGGATGTTGCTGCCCTTCTTGGAGGAGAGTTGGTGCTCATCTCCAGCATCCAGCCCAGCTCTCGGCCCTTTGTAGGAGCGGGATGGAGAGGTTGGTGGGGAGGGAGCGGTGGGGAACGGAGGGGGGCTTGCATCTCGGCGGTAGGCTGGGGAGCCCAGCAGGCGGTACGGCGGTGGTGAGCTTTGCTTGTGCCCCGTGGGAGGGCTGGGCGGTTTTCGATGGGATGGTGGAGAAGGTAGCTTCTTCTGCAAGGGCGGGCTGGGCACCCTGGGGCTTGTGGGGGGACTGGGTTTTCTCTGCATAGTGGGTGAGCTTGGATGCGGGTTGCTAAAAGCCTGCAGAGAGTGTCTGTGTTGTGCTGGGGGGCTGAAAAGCCGTTTCTCTGTCGGTGGAGAAGGAGTTCTGGTGGGGGAGACTCTTCTGACAAATGCTGATGCTTTTTCACTCCTCCTGAGCACATCGGGAGAACCGTGCTTCTGGTATTGCACCGAAGGCGATGGTGGACTGGGCTCTTTGCTCTCTGAGCTGTTGCTGTGTGGTTTTGAAACCCCGCTGGGGTTTTGAAGAGGGATAATTTTATGGGTTTGCTTGTACAAATCCGCAGCTTCTTTTCTCTGGCTTGCCAGTATCTCCTCCTGGCTGGGGATGTGCACGTTGGTAGGGTTCAGCTCCAGAGGGTACCTCTGCAGCTTCTCGTCCCTTGCTTCGGTACTCCATAGACCTTTATTAGGGATCACACTGGGGCCACTGATGTTTTTACTTGGCAATAAGTCAATGGACTGAAGGGAGGCTTTCATTTTTGGGGAAACTTGTGCTCTCTTAGTAGCATGGGGTTCTGTTCTGGTGGGCTTTTTGGCATCTTCTGAAGTGCTTCTTTCTATTCTTGCAGTTTCTTCAGGCTCAGACAAGTCAAAAGCAGTGTCCATTAACATTTCTGGTGGTGGTGGTGGCAGGTTCTCAATGTCTTCATCAGTGTCTTCCTTCACGTCCTTCTTGCTTAATTCTGCAGCTGGTACAGGGGTAAAGGCATTTGGCAAGCTAGAAGAAACTCCATTGGTGTTTGAAGGGTTTGTGTCTTCTGCTGGTGAGATACGATGCTTAAGATTTAAAGGTGCCAGGCCTTTCTGAAAGGGAATGGTGGGTGGAATGACTGGAAGTCCAAATTTTCTGACGCACTTTATTGGTCCTAAAGATCTTAAGGGTGCAGCTTTTACAAGATCATCAGCAGGACTGAACGTTTCAATAAGCTTTTTGACGGACTGTCGGGGGGCACAGCTGCTGCCGCTGAGCAGTTGTGTTCCAGGAGGCTCCTTTTCATTGCCTCCTGATGTCTCCTGGGCGGGCACAGCGGTTCTTAAAGGCTTCCTGCCCCTTTTTTCATCCAGCTGATGGGCAGCAGGATTTTGATCAACCATGAACAAAGGGACTTTATCCTGGTTAGGCAGGATGCTGAAGTTTTTGGAGAGGCACGCCTTCAGTTTGCTGGAGGACCTAGCTGTAACTTGCTCATCCTGTAAATAAGGTGCTATTCTTGACTTCCGAGGCTCCAGGTTGTTATCTGTATCCTTCCTCCCATAAAACATTTCCAGCCTTTTGCTGAGCTCTTTTTGAGTTCTCTGAAGCTCTAGGAGGGTTGGGTCCTCTGCCTGGCTTCTGAGGGACTCCTCTGACCTGGACCGTCGTTGTTTCCCGAAGGTTTTCTGGCTGCCCGTCGCCGTACTGGGCCTTGTTGTTAGGACTGCTCTTCCGCTCTCATCCTCTATCCATTCTTTACGCCCGGATTTGGCTGGGACAAACTTGATTTTTTCACTGATGGCATCTTTCATCTTCAGAATAATTTCCTCTGTTTCTGCATTCTCCGTCCTCTTGATGGACTGCCTTTGTGTGTTATCAGTGACCGCGGGCGAAGACAGGGGCCTCCTTGGCAGGGCATCCTTACCCATATCTGATAAACTTGTGTTGTCGTCATCCTCCCCCAGGGTGCTCCCTTCGTCGTCGTCGTCGTCATCATCATCATCATCATCATCATCAGGAAAATCTGTTGATTCACAGATTTTGAAACGTTCACTTTCCTGAGTAGAGGCAGACTGGAAGGAGTTACAGTAACGGCTTTTGCTCAAGCTTGTGTACTGGGGCATGGTAGGAATGCCTTCTGATACTCCGCCCTGACAAGAAGTTGCTTCTCTACTCTGCACGGATGAATAAAACACATCTTTAAGATGCCTTTCAAGTGCACAGTCGTGGGATGCGGCTGTGCCCGGTGACACTGTCCCACGCACGTGCTCCACTGTTCTGGGGTGCTTTTGGGACAGATTTCTGTGCGGACAGGAATCACAGCTTGCTTGTCCTCCATGCTGGCTGAGAGCACTGAACTCTTTGAGGGATTCGTTGTCCACACCAATGCCGCTGTCCTCAGAATAGAGAGCCCTGTCATCACCGTGGGACTGAGAGGATCCCACTGCTGAAGCTTCAAGCAGCCATACCATCCGTAGCAGGCGCTCATCAAAGCTTTGCTTTGCTTTCAGTTTTCCTTCCAGGTTGCTTGCAGCGGAGTGCAGGTAGCTGCACGTCTCTTGTAGGGCGTCAGAGGTGAGGGTGGCCAGCGTCCCACTCACTAACTGCATTTTATTGACCGTGTACTGCAGTAGCTGTTGCAGAAGGTCAGGGTGCTCCTTCAAATCACCTTTTTCTGCTGGCCATGCCAGATTCCCACCGATGTCTTTGAGAAGACTTTCCCCATCGTTGGCAATTTCTTCCAAGAGCTGGTTGATTGCATCGAAGCGAAGCACGAGAAAGCTTACCATCTGCTGTAGGAAGAGTTGGGTCTGGGTAGCCTGGTTGGCCATAAGAAGTATAGTTTCATACTTCGAGAGGTTGGGATTTAAGTAGGCATATGCACTCTGATGAGCCTTAACAAGCAGTTCTGGAAAATCTACCTTTTTCTCTGTCTCGCAAGGGGGCAAAATGGACTTTTCTTTAATCTTGCTGGATCGACCTTGCTTTGCCAGCTTTTGGTTTTTTTGCTTCTTTCCTTTCTTTGGGATTTGCTTTGTATGGCCTTCATGCTTGTCAGACCAAATGCAAGCTGACGCTTCTGATTCGCAGGAGCTTTGCTTTCTGATCTGTATGGTCTCAGTAATATGTCTCTGAGACTCAATCAGTTTGGACATAACAACGTCAGCATCTGTAGCTGTCCTCTCAATTTTCTTGTCTTCCCTGGAAACTTGGAGATCCGAATGAGCCTTGGAAGATAACTGCAAATTATCATTTTCATCCTGCTCGGATAGCTTATCCACTTTTTCTCCTGGGTAGTCTTTCCTCTGGATCTCATATTGACGGAATTCATCAATATTGTAGCAAGATGAACCTTTAACAAGCAGTGGGATTCCTTTATCTCCTGGATCAATACACAAACTACTTTTGGGTTTATTCAAAGCCTTAAGACCGCTTCTTGCAATAGTATTAGCAATCTCACTGTGAGAGGGTGTGCAGCCCATCTTTTCTCCCTCTTTGGCTTTATTTTTTATTAAAAATCCAGGTAAACCAGGGAAAATATAACAAAGAATCAAACTCACTGTTTCATCCCGAACTGCAGACTAGCCTTTTTCTCACAAGTTTTCCATCACAGTCCCAGTTTTGTTGTCAGTTTTCATTGTCGTTTGCCTTGACATCTCACGTGGTTACTGCCCAGCATCTTCTCTTGAAGTTGTGCACTGTCTCATTGTACGATCCCACTCAGGTTTTCTTCTTCAATTCAAAAAAGGAGTGTGAAAGCTCTGATGGATTTAGAGCTAGTGGATTAAGAGGACTTGCGTGCCTCACTTCTGTCTTGACAGATGTCCACTACGACTAAGATTTTAAGCTCATTAGGGTAAGCGGGCACCAGCCAGTCAGCACCCATCCTGTATTTATAAAGGCAGATTTTTTTCTGCACTATATTGGGAGGCAAAAGGACCTGGTACGTGTCTCTCCTTCTTTCCCTTGTTGCAAAAACATAATATACATTGACTGCTGAGATCCAAAGGAAGAGACTGTATTTTGAAGCCTTTTTTGAAGGGAAACTATTTGAACGGGTGTGTAAAGGCCACTAGATACTCCTTAACCATGAGAAAGTTGACCTTGACCGAGTACGTACCCACCGGAGTGTCCAAACACGAAATCAAGTGGGTTAGAGATGCCTGTTAGACTTCTGCCTTGAGGGTCTTCAAAGTTTTCCACTACTTGCAAGTGACAAGCTGTTTACTTTTGCTTCTAAGACTTCCAAATGTGATTTTGATTTGTTTTCTTCTCCTCAGGTGATCATTCTTGGAAAGTATTTTTTTCTCCTCTAGATAGCTTCCCAACCTGAAAAGCCAAACTGCACAATAGCAGTATCTGTAGAATAAGTTTTGCATATGTTGTTAAGATGGTGCTGGCATCTAGTATATCTAAAGTATAGAATTTCAGATTTAAAAAAAAAATATGAAAAATATTTTTTTTTCATTCCTTTGAGTGTCCTTGGATAAAATTTGAAAGTACTTTTTGCAGTCACTTGCTTATTTTATTGCTTTTTCATTGACTAGTGCTTAGTTCCCTTAACTGTGAGATTTTATCATTTAAAATTCTAAGAAAAAAAATCTAACAAATGAAAAATATAAACCCATTTCTGGGGAAAAAAAAAAAGAAGAAGGAAAAAAGCCAAACTCCAAAACAAAAAAAGAATAATCCCCCTCTGAAAGAGAAATCAAAGAAGCCAAAGCAGGAATTGGCTGAAGTAGAAGACATTTATCTTTTCCGAGTATTTACTTATGAAGGGCAGTTATGTGGATGAGGGTGATAATAGCAATCACCTCCCAATTTCCCTCTTCATTACTCAGACTGGCCTAAGTGGGTTCTCTTTTAATTTCCAGGTGCAGTTTTTTACTGAGGGTGGCCATTTCTCAGTGTCGCAAAGGTTACAGACTGCAGCGGCCAACTCCAGCTCTGGCTACAAGCCTACAGCTTCCCTCCAGCAATGTGACTCCTAATTGGGTGCTTGTGGGTTTCTCAGCTGATTCCTAGACTCTTTGCATGCTGTCAAGCCTCTAAAACCTTCTTGGACTTAAAGAACTGCTTACACGATTTATTCCTTAGTGCTGGATTGCAGTAGCTCCATAACTGCACGGGAAGCCATGATTCCCTGTAGCCTTGTTGTTTAAATCTCTTTTTCTGTTCAACAGGAGCAGCAAAATTACCGTGTTTTACAGGGGACAAGGCATGGCAGGGATTCCCAGGAAAATTTTTCAAGCTCTATATACTTCCTCTAAAGTAGTTTTCCTGGAACACATAAATTGTACTTAATATACATGATGGCACACTCATTTCTCTCAGTGCTTTTCTGGGAAGCGTCAGGGAATTACTTCGTGGCTCTGCATCTTGCAAGTCATGTAGCTGACTCTCTGGCTGTGTCTGTGAGTGGAAGTAGAAGCCCCGACGTGGCTACTCAACGGTCCCAGCTCTGTTTGCATTCCCTTCTAGGCACCTACCTGAAGTGTCTGAAGTGGAGCAATGGAGCAGGACTGGGCGGCTGCTTCATCCAAGTGATCCTAACGGCCAGGATGCTATAGCCCCCCACGGTAAGTCGAGGAAAACGGTAGATGAAGCAACTAGCCCCAGCGCTCCTCGTCTGTTTACAGCGGGAGCTGCCAGACATCCTTATGTAGCTGCTTATTATTTCTGCTATAAAATCTCCTGTGACTTTTCTTCAAAAAGCAGCTCCAACAATTCCATTGTTCGCACTGGGAGTTTTGACAATTAACTCCTTGTGTTGTTTGTTGTATATGGGAAGTTCTTTCTCTTCACTTTTTCCTTTGATTTTACAGCCACGTCACTTCCCCCCCAATTATTTTCAAGCCATATATCAACATCTTACATGAAACACACACCTAGTTAAAAAAAAGGCAAAATCCTTGTTTATGATTATTATTTATTATATACTCATTTATTATTTTAAACAGTAATATTAAACCAATATTCAGTTTGATATTTATTTATTATTAAAGAGAGACTATTAGAAAGATCATTATCCAGGGCCATAGAAAATGTGTTTTTAACAAGGCACCTGTTTTCTCCTAACTTAAACGGCAGTTTTCATGTATGTGCAATATGACTATTTAACACTGTGTCAAATTTTTCAGCTTCTGTGAGAGAGCAGGAACTTTGATGCCCTGTTTCCAACCGCTCATGAAACTGCATTTTCCTCAGCAATATTCTTGTTACTAAGGAGTTAATATTGCTTTGAATATCTGAGGCTTTAGAAAAACACAAATCCTTTACCTCATGGAAAATAATAAGGAAAAAGCTGTCTCATGGTCATGCAACAAAAGAGAAGACAAAATGGGTAAGTTAGGTAAAAAGCAGTGGTAAAAGAGCATATTGATGAGGAGAATGATAAGGAAATATTTTTGAGTGTAAGGGGATTAGATGAATTTGTGATCTGTAATTTCTGAGTGCTGTATGTTATGTCATTCCTTGTGCAGCTCCTACAGTAATGTGTTTTGTTTTACGATGCTGCTGTTAGCAGGTGAAAAGGAAACAGTTGGTCATGTTCAAGTCGATGCCCAAGAATTCTCACCTGCAAACCTGCTGACTCGAGCCATTTTACAAGCGTGCCAGGTGAACGCAAAGCTGTGTTTGTGGAACAGGCCCCAGGAAAGCACCAAATATAAAATAATTAAGGATTAAAGGAGGCTTTCCCTTTCATGTGGATTGTGTGTAAATTGCTTTTGCTCTTCCCTTCATATAGTTTCTTCCTGCTGGTAAAATTGGCAGCATCCTCATTTCCAGGGAGCTGCCTGCTCAAGCAGCACCCCTGAAGGGAAGAACTTCAGTGTTCAAAGCCCATTAGACATAGTTGGTGCAATAGATGATAAAAACCAAAGACTAGTCTGAAAGTAGCACTGTGAATGACCTGGAAAAGGCCCTGAACCTGGATGGAGTTGTGCAGTACTCGGACCCTAGAGGTGTTATCAGTGCCTTAACCACGGGATGGATTTTAGGGTCTTATGAATCACAGAATCACAGCAGGGTTTGGGTTGGAAGGGCCCTTACAGACCATCCAGTTCCAACCCCCCTGCCATGGGCAGGGACACCTTCCACCAGACCAGGTTGCTCAAAGCCTCATCCAGCCTGGCCTTGAAGACAGCCAGGGATGGGAAAGGGTTTGTTAATCAAAAGCTGTATGAAATTTCAGTGTAAACTACTAACATAAGCTTAAAAATTACGGAAACAAAGTAAAATGATAACAAGAGACTGATTTTGAAAGGCTGTGTGATTTAAAAGGGGAATGTGCATAAACGCCCATCTCGGGTATTAAAAATTTAAGGCTTATATTTGTGGATGACTTCTGGGGAAACTGACTGTCTGCTCACTGAGGAATTACAAAGAGCTTGAGTGGTAACAACAACCTTAACGAGCTATTTTACTCTGAAAGAAACCTGCTTTTTCTTTTCTTATATCAGCAAATTGAATATAGCCAGGAAGCTGTTCATATTGTTGGCCCAGATATCACTGAGTGAATAAGAAATGGCTGCTTTTTATTTCAGCTTCTCCTGCAGACCTGACACTGTTCTGGGAGATGGAGTAGATTCTCAATTCCCTCCTTTCTGTAATCACTAACGGAAATACTTACAAAACTTCATCCTGTTTCCCCCGTGGAAACCTACTGACAACAGTCAGGAACAGGAATCTCATGGTCTGAAGGAAATGTAGTGGCAAATAATTAAATGAAACCAGTGAGTATATACAGAACCTTTATTAGTGGTGATGGTGCAAGTGAAAGACAAAATTCATATTGACTCTGGGTCAAGGATAAACCTTTCAGAACTGGCTGAAGCTCAACCCATGCCTTCTCTTTTTTTATTTCTAAATTCTAAGTAAATTGCTTCAGACTGATGGCATGAGACAGAAAAGATGAACTCAGTGCTTTCAAAAACTGGTTTTGCAAAGGCAAAACTTTGGTTTTTTTAAAAAAAAACCAAAAACAGCAGCAGGACAAGAAAAACCCAGTTGTTGAAAACAGGTAGGAAACCGGTTTCCTTCTCCAGCAATAATACATTATACATGAATTAACAGAGGAAGAAATAAAGGTAGAAAATTACAGAGAGTCAGTTTTGGGGGCCTGCCTGCACAGGGCCATTGGTACACTCAGATGTCGCAAAAGAGTCAAGAAACACTGTATGAGTTTAATATCACTTGAGATCAGCAGTAGTTTTGTGAGATATATTTACATTTGTCTGTTATTTCTGGAATGTGTTTTCTGGTCACTTGGTCATAGTTTCTCTTCACTGAGAAACCCGTGGGTGTTTAAAAGCTTGCTGTCTGCTGTAACTAATATATTCACTGCTGTTTTCAATGGTTAAGACTGGTTAAGAATGGTTAAGTGACTGCCGAAAGGTAAGAGTTAGCACCAAGAATGGTGTGAAACAGCATAAAGCTTTAAGTATAGATTTCCAGAGCTACGCAAATCTGGAAAATGAAA